GCCAAATATCAACAGTACAACGATTGAAATTTCTTTTGAGAGCCGAATTTTTTAAACTTAAACTATATAGGTAGGTACATTGTTATGAACTTAATTAGGGTCCTCCTAAGGCTTAGGAAGAGCCACACTCAAGGGGCCGGCGTTGTGACTGGTCACCTTCCCAAAGGCAGTGGCCGTGAGGACGCGGGCGCTGGTGATGGCGCTAACGGTGGAGTGGAGACGGGGGTGGCGTCGGAGGGGGGCTGTGGTTACCGAGGCCAGGGGAGCGGGTTAAATTAGGAGGTGAAGCCGTGGCCACATGCAGGGATGACACCCCCACTTTATCCGCTGCCCACAGAGACCCTGAAGGGGCCCAGCTGCTGCCTGACCAGAGGCCGCCCCAGCCTGGCGCTTCCCCCCAGCAGGACATCGCCAACTTCCGGGGGCTGGTGAGGCTCCTGCCCATCATGGTGACCCTGGTGCCCTACTGGATGGTGTACTTCCAGGTGAGCACCCCTGCCCCTCACTCTGCGGGGACGGGCTCCCCAGGCCCCTCACTGGTTTCCTTTCTCACCAGAGAAGCAGGGCAGCGGAAAGGGGGAGGGTTTGCAAAGTGAGCAGCTGGCTTAGGTCCTTAGTCAGCCCCCCTCCCCCAGGGGTGGTGGAACACGAGGCGCGAGGCGCTCCGGGGCCAGGCCTTGCGCCCGTCTCTCTGGGCCTTGGCGCCTCGTGCGAATGAGAGCGTGGACAGAGGCTAGGGGCCCCGCCCCGTCAGCTCTCCGGGATGTGGCGTCCGAGGCCCAGACCCCACAGCGAAGGAGGGGCAAGCTCAGTGCACTGAGTGCTTTGTAGCAGTGGCTCCTCCTGGCTGTGCCTCAGTGTCTCCTGCAGAGCTTTTAAAAAATAAAATCCCACCCCAGACCACTGAGAGGGAACTGCGGGGGGAGTGCCTCGTGGAATCAGCTGCTCAGACACTGGCCTCTGCCTCTCGCACTGCCCCGCGGCGAAGATGAGCAAGTGTGCGTGCATGTGTGTGTGCGCGCGTGTGCACATGTGTGCATGTGTGCGCGCGCGTGTGCATGTGTGTGCGTGTGAGTGTGCACGTGTGCGTGTGTGTCCATGGCTGATTCTCAGTCGTACTGCTGGTCAGGATATTGACATCCTTCCACACCGGTTGATAAACAGCTGCTGCCCGCAGCCAGCACCCGCCCCGGCCCAGGCCCTCCTGTGGGCGCACCAGGGCCCCTCCATTTTATAGCATCTAAAGGCGCACAGCCTGCGCCGTCACCAGGTGCAGAGCCACTCCAGTGGGTCAGCCTGGGACTTGCTTGGCCTCTGTCATGAGCCCGCCCGGGGGACAGCGTGTCATCGCTTCCCCGTGTGGGAGCCCTCGGCCACGCCTGCTCCGGGCCTCCCTGGAGACAGCAGGTCCCACCAGCTGCGCCCGCTCTGGAAGAGAGCCGCCACGCAGCGCACGGCCAAGCCTACTTCTGGGGAACAAGGCGGGTGGGAGGTCGTGCCCCC